AATTGCCGGGTCTCGAGATTCGTGCGCGGTGTTAACTTCCTGAAATATATCTTTCTATCGAGACACGACCGGAGGACAGGGGAGCGACAGGAGACGTGTCTCCAATTACACGTAATGATGTAAAATCGCGCGACGATAATGGGTCGAGCGGTGCGCAGGCGAGGTCGAGACACATGTCCTCTATTAATAGTTGTGCGCCGTTTTTATCGTCGCGAGAGAGGCGGCCGCACGCGAGGACCACGAGACGACGAAGAAGAGGAAGAAGAAGAATAAGAGACAGTGGCAGCACGACGGGAGCGATGGCGCCTGTCAGGGTAAATACACTTTTTTTAACGGGTCACCCCAGCCACCCGCTAAAGACAATACCGAAACGGCGCTCTTTTTCTCTCTCTCTCTCTCTCTCTCTCTCTCTCTCTCTTTCTCCTTTCCTTTCTCTCTCTTTCTTTCTCTTTTCTTCTCTCTCTTTCTCTGCCGGCGGCTTTCCTTTATTTACATCGGTCGCCACGATTATTCTTACCACCCGCTAGCTTTTAACGCCAGCTGCGCCGGGCGTTTCTTTTTATTTCGCTCGATTTAACCGACGATAAGATGTAACGCGAGCGTTGTCTCGTGTAAGAGACTTTTGTCTCGCGAGCATTGCTTTTTCGCGACTTCGCGCTCCACCCTCGCCACTTTAACGCAAGGAGAAAGTAAAATCGTACGATACCATTTCAACGAAATGATTCCTAATTATGTGTATTTTGCGGGAGTATCATTGTCGCTGAAAAGACAACGATAAAAGCCTCTGCATTTCTCAGCTTGACGTAATTTGCGGTTGTAATGAACTCTGTCGACGCTATTGGGCGTCCATAAACGTCCGGCAAAATTGTTTACCGTTTACTATCGCAAATATCTATAAGCGTTCCGGCATAAATCGCTCATTGTATGTTACAGGTGATGTCTATAGGCGGCTGGTATAATCGCGCAAAATGTATCACATGCAAGCGGATTATTAATTTGACTTCCGAGTGAATTTAATAATTTATAGAATAATGTTGGGTTGTGTCAATACGAGTTTGCCACGTACAGCGTGTGTTTTACGTTGAGATTGCTGGTTATGCAAAAAAGTGAAAAATTAAATAAAGTAACAAAAATAATATTTCTATTAATATTCTCTATTCTATCACATATATATTATATGTATTGAATATATATTATGTAATATATATTATATTATATTTAATATATATCATAGAATAATATTATAATATATGTATAATTTTTATTTTATATTACATATATAATTATATTATAATATAATAAAATATTATTTTCTATTAATATTAATTTCTATAGAGTCGTTTGATTGATCTTCCGATGAAAATATATTTCTAAATTTAATGTAATGAATTAGAGAGAGTAAAGTGTAAACTAAATACAGCAGTTGTCGGTACACCGTTGCGTCCTGAATGCCTCGCTATCGTCGTTCATTATCGCCTGGTGAAGACGCAAAGACGAATAACAACGTTAATGCAACACGATAGCGCATAACACTTCGCTCATCGAGCACCTCACGGCAGCCGGTGAAATTCGCCATGAGACAGAATGCAGTTATCGCGCGGTCTACGTCAGCGCAGAACGATCAAGACTCATCGTCGCGGTGACTTAACGTCAAGTTGTCGTACGCGAAAAGAAGTCAGCGGAGAGTTCCGGTCGGCGAGAGGAGAGGAGCGCACGTCGCACTTTAATTGGAATTCTTCCCTTATCCGCGATGCCCCATTCACGTCCGGTCGTACCGTATAGATCATCGTGCAAACGGACAAAGGAAGCTACGTACGCCGCATAACGTATCCGTAGCACGTCGAAGAAAATATTAGAAGATCGCAGACTCTAATCTATACTATACATGCGCATGTGTGTGTATCTTTTATGCAATAGCTCGTGCAGCAAGCAATTTTTGAATTTTTTAGGTAAAATGGAACAATGGCGATTTTCACGTCGCTGTAATTTTACGAAGTAAAATCTCAAACAACGCAAATGTCTAAAATATGTCTCAGAATCATCCTCAAGACATCTAAAACAAGTGGAACATATTTCACACGTCTCTGAAGTGTCTTAGACATTTATGCTGTATGGGATGTATATGACTATATGTTGTGATCTACGATTTCCCGCATCTTTCTTCTCCCTTCTTTCTTTCACAAGACGTAAAAACATAACCACTTGACTTTATTTATAAAATTCGAAATTACCTATTTTACACAATCCGATGTTATCTACACGTGTTCAGAACTCGTGATATTCGGATATCGGAGAAATTACTTTAATCCTCCAATATGCTGTTGCATTTTTGCATAATTTAACGATTCTGCACATGCAAAAAGATTTGTTACGGTGGTAGCATGTTTGTATCGTTCCCACGTTATTATTTACTAATGAATACGCGCTGAAATAAGAATTAAGCACGCTCCACGCGTACCTGTCGGCACGCTTCGTTTATCCACTCTCGAAATTCAGTTCGAAAAAGCGTAACTTGCCGCGAGCCGAGGTGCGCATCAACGCACGCTATTATTAGAATTATCGTTATCGCGATTATCGTGATTAATTAACGGTAGCGCTGCGCAGGTGAATGCGATCGACGAATTATTAGAGCTTACGAAGAATAAAGCAGATTTACATTAGCCGTGTTGGAAATTCATCAATATGCACCACGAAGTAATACTCCATGGAACAATAGGGGCGTGACGTCCCCGATGAATTATCGAGGAAGCGCAGGTTGTTACATATTGCACAAACGGTAATGGAAAATTGAAAAGGAAGGACGAAGAAGCGACGGTAAAGGGAGGAATGTCCCGACAAGACGGAGAAATCCTGGCGGATACTGATTGCTTTAATTGCTCGCGCGAGTGCTCCGTTTATATATTCTACATTAACTTCAATCTCTGCCCTCCTTTCCCTACTCCTTTCCTCCTCCTGCTCTACTACTCTACTACTTCTCTAACCCAGCGCGCCTTTTTGTACCCCTTTTCCCTTTTCTCTCCCCACGATACTCTATTATTCAGGCCAGTTCTTGCGCGCACTTGGCGGATCAAAGAGATAACAGCAGGATATCCAATTTATCTTCTTCAAGAGGGGGGAAGTAAAAGGGAGGGAGAAGAAAGAACTTTGACCGGCTTCTACGATTGTAATTGCAATTAAACGGCCGGCAGCGAATTTTTACGGAACGTGCAGGATTTCCGTTCGAACTTAGTCGAACGCGATCGACACGTCGACTTTCTCGTGAAGAAGCAAAAGGTACGCGCGTCAGATAATTAAAAAAATTCAGCGCCTGGAGATTGCGACGACATCCCCAGAACGTTTCAGACACGAGTAAATATCGTTTAACGCGTACAGAGAAAAAAATTTTGGTATTTGTAATTGTTATTGCATGAAGAAATTATTGTTACTATAAATTATGGTCGAGGAAATCATTTTTCAAATTAAATTTTACCGTAATGTTAGTGATAATGACCTTATATGCATATTACTATCACTACTTTCATGTTAGAACAAACAAACTAAAAATAACTATGATTTGCGTTAAATCGTTCATCTTTTTTCTCTCAGCGCGATGACGTGACATCAATAAAATCGGCAACGAGCATTGGCGCGTCGAATTGCGCGAAAATTTAGTCTGTAGTAATAACTGCTCGTATATAAATAAAAAAGTTTTAACGGGACGACAATTTGTATCAACAGTATTCGCATTTTTGTAAACTGAGAGAAAATGATTAATCTTTTGGAAAGTTATTGTTATTTCGGTAACTGTATCTTCTTGTTGTTTTAACAGAAAAGTAATAATAGCAATGTACATGCAAGATTATTATCGTTAACTACAATGACATGACGTTTACAAGATTATTATCGTTAACTACAATGACATGACGTTTGCTACAAAATTTCCTGATTATAACCTTTTCATTATTTGATTACAGTGGCAAATATCAAATATTTTTTTCTAAGGATAAACGACGAGATTAAATATGTTCGAAGATCTTTCGGTTATAATTTATGGATTTACGTGCCGCGGAGTAGACGACGCGAGGACTCGATATCCTCGAGGATTCGCACTGCACAATAATTTCTCGCGCGATTGAGCACTCTCGCGCTCGACTCCCTTTCGCGAACTTTCTGCCATTTTTTCGCCGGCATTTTAATAATCGCGAAACTCGTGCGAAGTTTCCAGTCGGAGCCGCAGGTATTCGCAGTAACTTCCGACCATCGATCTTCGAATTCCGGCCGCTCATGAATAGGCGAATGCGGCGCGCAAATATTCTCCGAGCGAGCGAGCAAAACGGCAAAAGGATAACTGCGCGTCGCGTCGCGCCCCGAGTAGGTATCGACTGTCGGAGATCGATGTAAGCCGTCGAAAGAAGGCCGAATTACGGAGTTAGTTATGGACGTTAAGTAGTGAGTCGTATCGGGGAATTAACGAACACGTTGCTCCACGAGGACTGACTAAAGGCGATTTGCAGATTAGCATGGGTCATCGGCTACCTGCGCCGATTTATCGAGCCGTCGACGCGCCATCCGGCGAGGAAAAAAAATTTCGTATCGCCCATTCGCCGAGAAAGAATGCCGATCGACATGACGCGAGTAGCAACTGGCCGTGCTACATACACGACATATAAATATGAAATCGCAGGAATAAATATGAATTTTCGAGTGAGATTAATTCGGCGAGATCGGATCGTGTCTCTCGAATCAAGAGCCTATAACGACGAGCTTCTCTTGATTCTTCGTTACAAATTCCGTAGTTCAATATCAGGTTTTATCGTGAATACATATTTTACCTCGCAAATAACTCCTTCGAGCGAAATCAGGGCGGCCTTTAAGATTAAACGACAAACTTGGAGAGAAGAGGGCGATAAGATCAGCCCTTATCAGCGCCGCGCTACGTAAGTCGCAAATCGCGCTGCGTAGAATGGTAAGTCGAATAAAAGATAGAAGAGAAAAAAGAAATGTGAGGAAGAGCGACTCACTGGGATAGCAACGCAGTCTTCGAGCTCGGCGAGGGGTGATTCCGAGCAGAAGGTGCCCTCGGTGAGGAAAGGCGGCCGGGGGGGCGGCGGCAACCGGAACTCAGGGGGCGGCCCGGGGCACTCCGGGCACTCCGTGCTCTCCAGCGTCTCCAGCTCCTCCATCCTCCACCTCAGCGTGCTGAAAAGGCAGAAGAATCACCGATTAATCTCACTGGCGACGAACCGTTAGACGGAATCGCGGGAGAGGGAGAATGAGAACGCGTTACTATTTCTCGTAAAGGTATCGATCGACGTGGAAGAAGTCAGACGATCGCAATATGCGGTGCCTCAAAGCTGCAAAGGAACATCAAGGCGATCTATCGCGAATCAAATTCTGCATGTGAAATCTGATGGAATAACAATGAATACCGAAGAATGAATAGACGAGATAATCAACGGAGAGGGTAGGGCGGAGTGTAGGGGTAGAGGAAGAGGAAGATCGCGGTGTGGTCGGTATGCTAATGTCCGGAGACTCAATTAAGTTCTCATAATGGATCAGTCACGGGACTCGCTCGAGTCGCGAGTAGGTGTGCGCGATTGCGCCGGTTGATTAATTGTCTGACGCCCCCGCCGCCCCCGCTTCTCGCGACACGATCGCAGGTATGCATTGTAGCGAGGAGAACGCGGGTGGCAGTGCGATACGCCGCACTACATATTCGTCATTCGCGATCGCTGATATCTATCGATATTTCCGCCTTCGTCGGCGATGATTCTCGCGGGCATGGACAGCTAAATTCGCAACCTAAATTCGCAGCCTAAAGCCGCAGGCATCTGATGCGTCTCGCATAATTCTATTTGTACACGACCATGTTTCCACAGAATTGTAGAGAGCGTTATTCGAGAAACGTACATAAAGAAGAATGGAGAGAAACGTACAAAGGAAGAATGGTAGAGAAACACAAATAAAATAAAAAAAACACACTGAACGAAACGCAAAAAAAGAAATACATTTGGAAATACATTTGGAAGAAAGTGCGAGAGTATGAAAAGAGCATGAGAGTGAAAGAGAGAGAGAGAGAGAGAG